CAAAGCCAAACAGATGAGGAGATATTTTCACCAAAGTAGCACCACATATATCACAGAAAAATCTGTAGCAAACACCGTCACAAATTTGACAGCACACAGAGGGCATAATTAAACAAACAGGAAATCATAAGCAAATAGCAAAACAAAATGAACTACACCTTTCACCAAACACTGGTAGTAATTAGTAAAGGGCTGTGTCTGAAATCACCCTCTCATTCATTGTACCCTATTGACTAAACAGTCCATCAGTAGGATTAACAATTATAATTTATCTATCTATACTTATAACTGACATTACTTTATTTGTTCTACTATGGAATATAGTGGACACATAGAATTCAGACACAAACTAAATACAGAGCACTACAGGCTAATGCTACAGATGCTTAAAAATAAAAACAATATAAAAATTGGAAAACTAAAACACTGTTAGCTCATTTTCAAATGAGTGGTCTGGTCCATTTATTCATTACTCCTAGTGAAATTTCCATTTTGTTGTTTAGAACATGCAGCTTTTGTGTATTTGCGGTGCATGTCTTTGGTGTGTATGTGCAGTTGAATTGATTGATTTCTTAATTTGTTTTTGTTAAATTATTTGCAATCTTTTTCTGAATGATGTATTGTCAAAGCAGTGAAAATGGTTTCTTCATTTGTTCAGGCTCCAGACCCTAGTGCCACAGTAAAAAAAAAAATAGGGGAATGTGGGGAATATAAATACAGCCACCCAGGGACGGGTGGGAGAGGGGAATCAGAAGGGAGAAAACATGTAAAGTAGATGTAGGACAAACAGACAGGGTGATTAAAAACACATCTGAGATGAAGCGGCATGGCGGACATACATAAAAGCCCTCCATTTGTATGTCATTTGTCACTGCTGGTTCCAAAGTCACCATATCTCTGTCTTTGTGTTCTTCTTTATGTAATCGCCTCAAGTTAAAACAGTATATCTTGCTGACTGCTAGGTTTTGGTTATCACACCTTGTTATAATGTCATAGTTTGTTCTCTATCAGGCTACAAAATATATTCAGTTGTCAATAAAGGCACTGGGTGGGACAGGAGGTGAGGATTAATGACTGGCTGAGAAGATGACTCTCTCCATTAGATTAACCAATATGTTGGACTAATGTGATGCATTTATCAAAAGCTGGATATTAACCCATCAGTCTTCAGTTCCAAAACTCTTCCATTATAACCACAGACAGCTACAGACACTGCAGCCTACAAAACCTGCCTAAAAATCAGACTGTACAACTATTTAAAAAAACACACTTTTCCTTTTACAAATGAAAACTTCAATTTATTGAGAATAAAACTGCAAGACGTAGGCTCAGAGGATTTGCTACTACATTCTCACTTGGCCTGGTATGACCATAGCTTATGCTGGCTAATGATAGTTAACTAACTGTATGTAGGTACTCCAGTGGTCATTGCTAAGCCAGTTCGCTGACTATTACTCCTCTTCACTTGTCACACAATTAAACATTTAATGTCATAACATAATTCTCAGTTACCTAAGTTCATGTTAAGAGATTCACCAAGTTATATGTGAGAGCAACCAACTTCTTGTAGTTCTTGTTTGTCTATTAACAAAATAAAATCTGCTTCCAATACAGCATCTGCATACTAGCAGGAGCCGAGCTATAGAAAGTTGAACAATGTGCCATTTTTTTATTCACTGGAATAGTAATCAAAGATTTTATATACGTCATTTTGAAACTGATTTATACCAAATCAGCATCAGCGCTTCACAAAATCAAATGCTTGTGTTAGCATGAAGAAAAAAGTGGACACATCAATGGTCTGCCAGGGTCATATCGATGACTATGGTGTTATTGATCCAAAAATACATTTACCAATCACCCAAATAGTTTGTGTTCCTTCAACAGAGAGTTTAGTTTTTCTACTATTTCAGAGCTTTGCCGCTCTTCAAAAAACACAGTGCTGGGAGAAACACATTTTTCACACATTTGTAAACACAGAATGCTTCTGACATCCAAGCTCTTCATCCATCTCACCAATCCTCCTCTGTCCTTCATTCCCTGACCTCCAGATGGAGACACCACAGGGGAGACAGGGTGATAGAAGGAAAATTAAAAAGTACCAGGGGGTTAGCAATCCAGTGATGAATAGCAAGGGAGGGAGGGATGCAGAGATGGTCAAGAGATTTGGCCCAGTTTAGAGAGATGAAAGGAGGGCTAGGTGAGATATTGCATGTAGTGATAAAGGCTGTGAAAGCAGACCCATGTGAGGGCAGCTCTAAGTCAACCATGCCCCCCTGCTTAGCCAAGGCTGCAGTACACAGGGCTTGAATTATCCATGATGTGTGCGTTTGCGTGCAAACATACGTGTGCAGGTTTGCATGGCTGAGTACATCAATTGCATGAAATGTCAGTGTTGATGAAAAGCATGTTAATGCACGACACTATGCATGTGCAAGAGAGAAACACAATTAGAGAGGGGAAACGGGAAAAAAACATGAAAGGAGAAAATGCAGGGCAGAAAGAGAAATTTGAGGAATGATAAAGATTGATGAAGAAAAAGAGGGAAAGTGAGAGAGAAGGTGTGGGAAAGAGAGAGGCAGAGGCAAGATGCTGCATCAGTAAAATGTATGTGATTGATACTGGCTTTATTTTTATGTAAATATTTCTCTCTTTGCTCAGTCCAAGACCTGAACACTGAAATGAGTTTGCTTCAAAGTGACACTATGCTCACCATGATGCAGACGCAAGGCATTATATTAGGCTGAGTTAATGAGGAGTCAAAGTCAATAAAGGGGAGTTTTGGTTTCTTGGTCTGTGGTCAAAAAGCTGAAAATGAACATTTCTGGTAATGTTTCCCATATCTATTTGGCTGTAGTCTTTTGTCAGCTTTAGAAAACATAGTTAACTATGTTAAAGTAGGTGGATGAATATCTGTATCATGTACGATGACCCTCCTCGGGTGAATGTTAAAAGTCCTTGCCGCTGTTCTGAGCTTATGTGTGCCTACTCCCATGGCCCAGTAATACAGTATACAGTGCCTTGCGAAAGTATTCGGCCCCCTTGAACTTTGCGACCTTTTGCCACATTTCAGGCTTCAAACATAAAGATATAAAACTGTAATTTTTTGTGAAGAATCAACAACAAGTGGGACACAATCGTGAAGTGGAACGAAATTTATTGGATATTTCAAACTTTTTTAACAAATAAAAAACTGAAAAATTGGGCGTGCAAAATTATTCAGCCCCCTTAAGTTAATACTTTGTAGCGCCACCTTTTGCTGCGATTACAGCTGTAAGTCGCTTGGGGTATGTCTCTATCAGTTTTGCACATCTGGATTCTATTTATCATCCTTTGTCATTTAGGTCAACATTGGATCATTCAGAGATCCTCACTGAACTTCTTTAGAGAGTTTGCTGCACTGAAAGTAAAGGGGCTGAATAATTTTGCACGCCCAATTTTTCAGTTTTTTATTTGTTAAAAAAGTTTGAAATATCCAATAAATTTCGTTCCACTTCACGATTGTGTCCCACTTGTTGTTGATTCTTCACAAAAAATTACAGTTTTATATGTTTATGTTTGAAGCCTGAAATGTGGCAAAAGGTCGCAAAGTTCAAGGGGGCTGAATACTTTCGCAAGGCACTGTATATGCATCAGTTCAGGTAGTCTGGTTGTCAAGGGCAGTAATGATGACTGAGATTTTGGACGCAATTCACTCTAAAATCCTGCTATGATGAAAATCTGCCTGTTGTGCTTAAGTTAGGCCTATTTTAAAAAAAAACAGTCCAAACATGGCTGGATAAGCTTCTAGACCTAAAGCAGTGTACCCTCACACAAGAGACCATCATCATGAATCACTCAACACACATCACACAAATCAAAGTACCACTGGAACTTATGAATCAGTGCATGAATCATCTTATGTTACTGTACAAACAAATCCCCTGCCAGCATGTGCTGTGTGTCTAAATATTGGTGCAGCAGGGCTACAGTGAAAAGGTTGTCAGCTTAAATTCCAGTACCTACTGGGAGGATGAGCACATTAAATCAAACTCTTTAGCAAAAAACTTAACCCCTTGTTTCCCCATAGAGCTGCACAGAGGCCAACACTGTATGCAATCTGAAAATTACCCTTCCCTTAACATTTATTTAAGAGGATATGTCAATCTTCTTTCATATTTAATTCTGGTTGTAATGTTACACCAGACAAGCAGCATCTAAATAACTCTTTTGTCAACACTGAGTGCCCTGCAGTGCCCATGTTCAGCTCAAATGCCCCCTAGGTGGCAAAGTACCACTCTGGTGTGACCTTACCCTAAATGAGCTCTACCATTAATCCTGTGAGCAGAAGCAGGGCTACTTATTTATTTATGGTCCTGCTGTCTAAAGAAGCACACCTCTGCTCCTTTGGATTAAACTGGCAGCTGTTTAGTTGTACTGAACATTACTGACCGCTAGCGGCAAGGCAACTGTAGTGATTAGAGCAAACAAATATAGTCAATAGTTAATGTATATGAATTATGTATAATATGAAATAGAATACAGCAGGAGTGTGCAGGCTACATATAGATATTATCTGTAGTAAGTAATAGCTGATAGTTGTTTGGGGGAGAGTTAAGTGTTTATATAATCCTGCAAGATCTGTTTCTCTTCTCTGAAATGTTTGGAGATGTTTGGTATTGTGGTGTGTGTCCACTTTGTTTAGTTTATGGGTTCATCTTGTGAACAAACATCTAGAGAGCAGCTTCCCTTAAAATAGGAACATTGAGAGCGGCATAAAAAACTACTGGATCTGAGGAGAAGAAAGAAATAGGAAAGAGATGATGGAAGGGGACGAGAAGAGACACGCACTTCATTCACGCTGGAACAAGTTTCTCTGCAGAGAAACTGATAAGGTGATTCTGTATCTTGTCTTCAACATTTACTATTAACATCAGTATACCAATAAATAATCATTGGAACTATGGTGACTTGTCTGAATTAATTTGTCACCCCAGAACTCTCACCACAACACAACTTACCTAGGAGCATCAAAGCTGTCATAGGATCCCACAGTGTAATGGCGGAACAGCCTTTTGGCTCGTTCTCCGCGGCTCTCTGAAACACAAAATCACAGCAACGTCAGCATGGTTGTACTTCACTTATAATGCTAGACTTAGTGCTACTATGAAATTTAATGCAAGGATATGCAGTAGCAGCTTATTGTCTTTTACCCACTTGGTGACAGAGTACCAAAACTAGTATCTTAAATCATTGACAGGTTTATGCAAGAGGCTAAATTAGTTGAATGTTTAGTGGAGGGCAGATGTGAAACTCCCTGTTAAGAGGTGTGTTTTCTTTCTCCAAAAGTCATGTTATGTATTTTCTAAAAAGAGCCTGTTGTTTGTGAGTATGCACGACTGGTTATGATTACCTGATCGGTTGTCTTGGCTTCGAAGCATCACTTCCTCCACACAGTCAGAAGGGAACCAGCCTGTGCGGCCCCTGACTGTCCCCTCCCAGTACCCGCCCTCGCCAACACTCAACACTACAGGGGTAGGGTAGGAAAGAGCAGCATGTCAGGAAAAAAAGGGCAATCAAACATACATTAACACACACACAGACAGACAGACACAATGAGAAATGAACATATGCAAAAAAGACAATAACGTTAGACAGAAAAGAAATAATGTAGATGCACACATGGTCATGCAAACCTCCTACATACTCACCAAGACATACATACCTGGCGACACCTTAGACTCACTCACAAACACACACATATTCATACCTGCAGACATTGAATACAAACATATATAGATACCTTACATTCATGTTAGGACAGGGCCATTTCACAAACTCATTTGAAGACACTCCTTCTGGCCTGGGTACTGTTCTGTCTCTGAGATAGATAGTTTCCCTTTACACCTGATGGTACCATGCATCTCCTGTCAGGCTCGAGTAATTTTGTGGTTTTAAAAGTAATATTTTCGGTGTTATCAGTGCTAATCAAATCGATTTTCTCAATATGTTTGAAGCAATAGTTTCACATTTTGAGAAATACACTTATTTTCTTGCTTGCTGAGAGTAAAATGAGAAGATTGATGCTATTCTCATAACTGTCTGTTAAATATAATCCAATACCCAGCAGCAGTTCAGCTCAGCTTATCTGGTAAACTAAAATGGTTGTTCTGTCCGAATGTAACAATATCCAACTACCGCACCTTTAAAGCTCACTGATTAAATCATTATATGTTCATTGTTTAATTGAATTAAAAACTAACAAACACAAAACTTAAAGGAACACTGATATAGGGAGATATGTGCATACTATCAATCCTCCAACCTAACTCTCAGCAAACAAAGCCTACTTTTGCATGACGTTTTGTAGACTAGAAGTTTATCTGCAGCAAATGTGAAAAGGTTGCTAATACCAACAATGCTTCATTTCATTTAGCACTCCTCTCTGCAGTTGAGGTAAAAATGTTGTTGCAGAAAAACGAGGGTCTTGCGCTGCATGTTCTGCGCTAGTCTGAACAGTCGAAACTCCGATTGTTGGATGAAATGGCAACGCCTTAGCTGCAATGCTAATGTTGCTACATTTCAGAGACTCAAAGTGTGTTTTTAACAATCTTTGTGGCTGCGACCGCATGCTAATATTTTGCCAATTAAATAGGCTTTGATACTGTATGAGAGTCAATTGTTATTATATTACATTTATATTACATTTTGGTAAATTCAGAAACACAGGTAGGTTTGAATCTCCAAGGTTTTTTCCCATAGATTTATTATGAAAGCTGGATACCAGATTACAAGATGGCGTCCATTTTCCCCACTGAAAGTCAAATTTTTTTTGGGTTTGCTTCCGCATCATGAGGCCCACAGCACATGTGCATTAGTGTTCCCCCTTGCCCCCACTGACCCTGCCCATGCCCATGCACTCATGCTCAACCCATAGACTATACGCTGGGATGACGTCAAAAAAATTCAAATCAGTTTTCTAGGCTCTGGAAAAAATTTTACAAATATAAAACCTACAAATATTAAAAAGCCATAATGAAAATAGTGGTAAGTGATCTAGTTTACAATATGAGATGTTCTGTCAGCAGTTTTATAGATGTCTAATTATCATCATGGTCTATGGAGAAAATGCTTTTAGGGCCCCAGAGGGAATTTTTTTGTTTTGTTTGTGACAGCTGGGAAAAGCTGGCTGAAAGGCTGAGTAATGCCTTTCTCCTCAGTTCAAGCAGTGGTCAACAGTGTTTGGTTACACCCATAAAGGTCACTGCAGCTGGGGTCAAAGTTCAACACACTTTTTGCTCACCTGTACCTCACAGTATAAGGTATAGTACACAACAGTGGGGAAGGGTGCACAAAAATTGTTTTTCTGTAATAATGTGGATACAACTGTAGAAGGTTTAGAGGGTTAACTTGTAGGTAGAAAACAAATACAAAGAAGTTGTACCAAAACCAGCACTAGAATGAAATTTGTACTGTAGCAGGAAAAAAAAAGGGACTGAGTTGTTCATGTTGTTCTGTCTCTGTTGAACTGTAAGTAACACCTTAATAAGCCAATGGTATACCTGGGCCGTGTTTGTTTTGGCTGATTAGCAAAGCTATGGTGTTGTGATCAGTGGATAATATTAGCTAATTGGTAGATAAACTAAGCTAAAGCTAAACGTGTGCACAAATATACATTAATAAAATCAGTAAGCTAAATGATGTTGGCTTAAAAGCTGCTAATTAAATCTCACCTCTGAAACTGTTAAAACTCCTGCAGTCAGCAGCTTCACTGATTCATTACAATCCTCTCAGGTTACTATCAGGTGTAAACAACATCACAACTACTGAGGCCCAATCAGACACACACTTTCCTTGAATTCACGTGGAAGACAAAATGCATTATGCTCTAGCACTATACTCACCTTTGACCCTGTCTCCCTTATTGAAGCTGATTTCCCGCTCTCCCTGTGCAGAATGCGCTCGAGTAGCTATAAAGACTCGTCCTGGGATGGCGCTGTAGAGGCGTCTCCGCTGCCCCACGGCTTGTCCAGCAGTGCTGGCAGGGGCAGGCCTGTGTGGAAGGAAGGAGCAGTAGATATGTAAATTATACCATAAGCAAAAGTCCTGTATTCAAAAGTGTACTCAAATAAAATCACAGAACAACAAACATTTAAAACGTAAAAGTAAAAATACTTATTGAGCCCCATTTGAGATTATTACACTATATATCAGTGATACTGGATGAGGTGGAGCTATTTGAAATACTTTATGAAACGTTATTAACTGATCATGTTTGCTATGTGAAATCTTCATCTGCAAGGTAACAAGAAAATAACATAAATGTACATCAGTGCAGTCAAACGTACGATGTTTTCATTTAAAAAGTAGTGGAACTATAAAGCAGCACAAAATTGAATTACTTAAGTACCTCAAAACTGTACTTAAGTAGAGTACAGTAGTTGGATAAATTTACACCACTGAGGGATGCTCTGAAATTAAAACTCAAAACTCCCTTAATGATGAAATTACCAAATGCATCACTTGCCTTTTTTTTGACTGAGGAAAATGTCGTCTTCATGTCAGGAGTAAAAAACTAACTATTACAACTAGGTTATTTAGATTTTCTCATTTTAATTTCAGAAAAAACACAGTGATTACAAATGTAACTGCACCAAACCAGGTAAATCGGGGGGTGGGGGCAACCCTTTAACACTTGCACATTGTTAAGCATTTTTAAAGGACATGCAGACAGGTCCAGCAGAAAGCCCCAAACTTACTTTAACCAGTTAAAATAAAACCACAATATCCTGCTCTCCTCTGAAAAGTGAAAGTGATGTCATTGTTCAGCAACACCATGCTGTCAGCCTCCTCCACCCACCCCTGTCTCCGACTCTGCCTGCTACGGTCCTCCTTGTCTCCAATCCTTCCTCGGGAAGGGGAGCGCGTCCTTGCCCCCCTAGGACTGCTGGAGCTACGCAGGGTACCGGTATGTTTATAACCCTGAAAGACACAGGGAAAGGTATTGATATGTTACAGTATGTCTGTACATGTATCTGCCTTTTTGGACATATTCTCATGTACATGCACTACACCTGCATAAAATAGTCTGTGTTATAGTTTTGAAAAACATTTAAATACCAGCCTTGTCAATGCATTGTTCTGCCATGATGTGTAGCTGCACACTCACACATCTAACTGCATTACAGTAAGATATAAAACTGTGAATATCTTTTTGTTTCTGTATTTTAAAAACATGTCATTTGATTGTTATATTAACATTAGTGCTTTTTCTATTTGTTAATTTCCATCTCTTCTTCCATGTGGCTGTGACAACTTAATTGTCTGGCTTCCATATAGTTGATTAAAGAAACTCTGACTGCACTTTTACAAGCACATGTTTACAGAAGATAACAAATCAGAATCAGCTTTATTGGTCAGGTGTGTTGGACACACGAGGAATGTGACTCTGGTACAGTGACTCTCAGTATAAATGTACAATGTTCTTCAGTAAAGCAATGAGTAGATGAGTAAACAAGACAGAACAAAAAAAAAGGAATATGCATTAGGACAATAAAACTGTAGAACTGTATCAGCAGCTCCCGGGGTAGGTGTACAACCTCCCGTCTGTAGACTGACTCATTATCGTCTCAGATGAGACCGATGACCAGTGTGTCATCTGCAAATTTTAAAAGTTTAACAGAGGGGTCTTCTGAGATGCAATGATTTGTGTAAATGGAAATCAGCAGTTGGGAGGGCACACATTCCTTAGGGGCACCTGTGCTGATAGTCCAGGTGTTGGATGTGGTTTTCCCCAGCCTCACCTGCTGTTTCCTGTCAGAAAGCTGGTGATCTACTGACAGGTGGGGGCAGGCACAGTGAACTGAGTCAGTTTAGAGTGGATGATGTCTGAGATGATGGTGTGAACACTGAGCTGAAACAGGTTTTTCCGCTTTTCAGAGTAGCTCCTCTTTGCTGCTCTGATCTCACTTGTCGGTGTGTTCCTGGCCTGCTTGTACAAGATCCTGTCTCCACTTCTGTAGGCCTCCTCTTTGGCATGACAAAGCTGCTTGAGTTTTACTAGGAACCAGAGCTGCTTGTTGCTGTATGTGCAGAAGGCCTTGGTGGGCACACACATGTCCTCACAAGAGTTGATGGATGATGTCAAAGTGTCAGTGAGTTCATCCAGGTCTGCAGATGCAGCCTCAAATACACTGTACAGTCAAAGCAGCCCTGTAGCTCTGATTTTGCCTGCTCAGTCCATCTCTTCAGTGTTTTGACCACAGGCTTCATAACTGTAGGTTTTTGCCTATAGATTGGTATAAGACCATGCAGTGATCAGATTGAGGGCTACTCATGGGACAGAGCAATAGACGTCTTTTATTATTACCATGTAGCAATGGTCCAATAGGTTTTTGTCCCTGGTGGGACAACTGACATGCTGTCTGTATTTGGGCAGAATGATAAATATAATAAAATGCATATTTATGGGCTATTACTCAACATAATCACTTCATCTAAAGAAAGAGATAACAAGGACCTGTGATTTGAGGATTTATTTTCTGCCACATAATTAAATGACTTGGATGGCTTGTGAGAAAAGAGAAAAGGTCCTACAATTAGTGTTCACTACTAGAGGTTTATAAAGATCATCCATTACAGTGTATTATGTCCATTCAAATTTTAGTATAAATTGTGGGGCTGCAGCTGCTCAAGGCTCCACCTCTGAATAATAAGTATTATCTGGGATTTCTCCAAACTGTCATATTTACAGAAGATGATGAAACTACCCTTAGCTTTTTTTTATTACAGGAATCAAACTACTAGAATTAAATGCATCCATATCACAAAAAAGTTTGGAAGCACCACATTTCAAACAGTATTTTCTGGGCACAATCAGTCTTCTGATGAAGACTATGTGATCCAGTTCAAAGCTCCAAAAATAGCGACTAAATAAATTTTGAGGTGAAAATATTTTTTGGGAACTGCTGCTTCCAGATCTTCATCTTTCACAGACACAAACACACCTGCACAGAAACAATGTTGGTCCCTGGGGCGTTGGGCATTGCCATCCAGTCTGGCAGGTTCATGCTGCTGTCACTGTTGGCCCGCAGGAAGGGGTGAGGGTGGGGTATTGTCAGGGTCTGGGCACTGTCCCGCCTCTGGGGGGCATACTTTGGAGACTCCACAAAGGGAACTGAGAAGTGAGGGGCAATAGAACACACTGAGCATGAAACGTGAGTGTAATGGTGCATTTTCTTTATCACTGCTCTTATTTTCCACATCCTCCTATATGCTTTATTCTATATTTCTTTGTACATCTTTCACACTTGCTGCAATTGTTGCTACAGTATATTCTTTAATACACTCCTTTTTTTTAATGTTGCTTCCTCTAATTTGCTGAAAAAGGCTTGATTCCTTCATTATGTTCCTGAATCATTTTATCTTAGGAGCATGTTTTACTTAGAACATTACCAATCATTACACATCTTCAAACTGGAATAAGAAACGCACACCAGGCATCAGCTACATACCCACATCTGCATCCCGGTGGTTTTTGATAATTTCTCCCAGCTCAAAATTACCAGACATGACAGCCACCTGGTGAAAACCCAACACACACATAGGTTGTTTCTGGATACAAATGACAAGAGTGCCAAGAAGTGGTTAATATTTCTGTTGTAATTAAGCAGCTGCTTGCATGCTTTTACTGAAACACTGTGCTTCAGTTTATGTAAATAATAATTATAAAAATGCATAATTTTGTTGGCACTCTAAACTTGCACCCTTAAACTAGTAAATTTTCACATAATGCAAATGAAATGTATAGATTACAATTGATATGAAGGAATTAATCATTTCCTTAATGCAGGAAAGATGGTCTTTACAGAAAAAGAAACAATTTGAGTTCCTGTAATGATTTGTTTATTATTTAGTTTGCATTTTCACAGCTCTAATTATGACTGCACTTCCAAATTCCAGCACAGTGTCTATGAAGATTCTAGTCACCCAGGTTGTAGAATTTCAAAAAGTCAAAGCAAATAGATTTGATGTTTTCTTGAAAAAGGAGTCCTCTCAAATGAAAACATAGTTTAGCATTCTTTCCACCACTGCATAAATGTTTTAGATCTTCTTTGCAAAAATAATAATAATAATAATCGTCTCAGCTGGCTTTTTCTGCACTGACAGAGTTAAACTAGATCAAGATAAAGGGGTCACATTCAGTCCTGCCACCTGGGATTTCTGTGTGCATCGCAGCACAATAATGGTTTAAAGTGAAATTAGGCCCTGGCACTTTCTACTATGTTTACTTGATATGCAACCACCCAACATGCATGATTACGCAGCCAGGCACAAAGCCATTACCTGAAAGGGGGTCTGCCCACTGTTATTCTTTGTGTCTTTATTTGCTCCCCTGTAGAGCAGAATTCGCGCACAGCTTTCCTGCAAAAATAGTGGTGATTAATGTGTATTTATCATAAAATATAAGCTGAATAATCATTTATTCACATTCATGGGTTTGTTTTCTTATTTTAATTGCTTAGGTTTTTATGTCATTCAAATGCTGAATAGTAAATACAGCATATTCTGTGAAAAATGCTTTAAAGTAGAGGCTTTCAACTAGTGGTCCATGGACCCCTCGTGGTCCGTGAAGGTATGGCAGGTGGTCCCTAACATGTATTCAGTAGCATAGTTTCACCGTGGGCATAACTATCTTTACATTTGTTAAACACCTTTCTGTATATTAATTACTGTTTGTGAATAATCAAATTTTGCAAATGAAAATGAATTTAGAAAAGCCAAGGTGATTTTCAGGATTAAAATAGCGCCCATCAAGCTAGCCACCACGCAGCAGTGGTCCTCAAGTTGCCCCTTAGTCAGAGAGGTGGTCCCTGGGTCATAATCGGTTGAAAACCCCTTTTTTAAAGCAATGTGACATAGACATTCAAGAAAGTCATGTAAAATTAAAATTGCATATGGCAGAAATATCTTATTTTTGATATTGAGATTCAGGTTAATATCCTATTCCAATTTCTCTGATGATGTTTTCAGGTCAGGATGCTGAACCTAAAAAGGTAGGTACAGTACATTATTAAGTGGCTTTCATCTTACTGGATTGTAAGATTTAAGGGTGTTTTATCATAACATTTTCTCTACTCTATAGAGAGTGGCTTCTGAGTCTTATAAAAAACATGTCTACCTTGTTATATAAAGCACAAATGTGCAAGGCAGTGTTTCCAGAGGCATTCTGGGAGGTGGAATCCGCCCCATAGAAGAGGAGGTGCTCCAGATGCTGCGAGTTACCATTCTGACAGGCCTGAGGATAAACATGCAGATGGAAAGAGAAACAGGCCAGGGGGATGTGGAAAAGCAAAGCATTGTGGTAAAAAAAACAAGATGTACAGGGAGTAAAGGCAGAAGGATTTAGGTGGTAATTTAATAAAGATAATGGGAAGGCAAGAAGGAATGGAGACAGTGACACCGAAAGAAGAACAAGATGATGGTTACCAAGTGATACCACATTTAATTGACACAACCTCTAAACTTAGAGGGCAAAAAACAAATGAGATCCAATAACATCAATAATCACATTTAGAACAATTCTAATCAAAATATGGACACACATACAGTAAACAGACACATTTAACAACATGACACACTCAATATCAAAACTAAACATTTCATTTTTCTTACTTTTCACTGTTTTTTATGCTTTAATCTTAATACATTCTCAGTTATACCTGGTCACATTATCCAGCAACTGTGTTCTTTCACAGGAAGAAACTTAGTAGTGCAACTTTGCTTAGTAAACTGGGCTTAGCTGGGTGCATCCGTACTATGGTAGAGCCAAATGACAGTGAAAAAAATCTTTCACTTTGGAACTTCAAGTCAATGAAAACCTGGCTGACCACCCCTGACTACCAAATTTCTTTTGTGTTAATTTCAATGGGCATTTTCAGCACCAGAATATACACATTTTAGACATTTCTAAGTATGAAAGTATAAAACTATAGGCCTTTATGAATCATAATCACAAAATCTCACTACCAGTGTTAGTCAGACAGTATAAGTTGGAGACATAAGAGACGGATGCTGATGAAGTGTGGGTGATCAGCTGATACCTTTAGTTTTCCTCCTGGCCTCATGTGTCTACTTCACTGCTGTAATATGAGGCCACTGAAGCAGGATGGGTGAGATGGAGCATGAAAGATGTCCAAGAAAAAGAATGAGAGGAATAGCATATCATGGCATGAATGGCTTTTGACATAGACACTGTACTGTACATATGGAGATACTGGAAAACAAAGCACACTGGTACATTACAAAAAAGGATGCATGCACACTTGTGAAATCCAAACAACAGAAACTAAAAGCCAAAATACCCTGAGGCATAACTTTTTTTCTGGTGTTTTCATATCACAGCCCCCAAATAGACACAAATTAGGCCACTGACCCCATTAGATTGAAAGACTTTGTCCCAAGTATAATCTAACAGAAAGTTTTGCTGTTGATTTAGTGCTACATTTACATATACACAGCACATGGGAGACAACAGAAGACAAAGTTAAATCTATTTGCATTTATACCTGGTGATTTATTCTGATTTTCCTATAATATTCTCTTTATTTATTATCCAAAATCTCTGAAGGCCCCTGAAAAAAAACTTCTCACAATTCCCTTCAGGTTTATATGACACACACGCACATACAGTATGTACCTGATGTGTCTCGTCCCAGCCATTCTCGTCCCTGATGCCCAGCTTGGCATGGTGGTAAAGCAGTGTTTCGCAGCAGGATGTGTCGCCTCCTGTCAGCACAGTGTGGTAGAGTGGCGTCAGCCCTCTCCGGTCCTTATAGTCAGGAGAGGCACCAAGAGACAGCAGGACCTGCAGGACAAGGCAGCAAAGATGTACATGTACAGATCACTGTCAAAAACCAGCGGGGGTGAGGTAGTTTGAAAAATACTAAAAATAATAAAGATTTAGCTTTGAAAAGCTAAAAAGAAAAAACTTAAAGTGGCTTCTAACTTCAAGTCAAGGAGTATTCACAGAATTGTAAATCAGGATAGGAACACAGCTCAGAATTCAGAGCAGTCGGTCATGCAGCAGCTCAGGCCAGAGAAAATAATGTATTCAATCAGAGTCTCTGTGTAGCTTAGCAGCTGTTTCTCTCCTCTGTGGAAACATGAGCTCTGACAATGTAAAACGTGTTATTATCTTCCCCACGATGAGCTCCTCTATGTGGGTGCCTGTGTTCTTGATGATTTGGGAGCTGAAAATCTGGACAAACGCCTAAAATGTAAATGTGCAACACACATTTAACAGCAGGCTTTTGTTGTTCTCTGGTTGAAAAGGTTTTTTGGTCATGTGTATTTTGTGTGTGGGTGGGTGTGGATTGCTGAGTGGGAGGGTCTGTTTATTTTGTCTTCAACTTATTTACTTATACAGCAACACAAATGAAGATGATCCTGTATCAGTTTCAGGGCTAATATCCATCTTGTAGGTTGTTTTTGTTCCTTTTAAGGCGTGACAATGAAAATGGGTTTGTTATGGTTAGATAACAACAGTTGTACAAAAAGGGTAACAACATGTGAATGTTTACCAGCAGGGCTGTATGGCGGTGGCCCCGGACAGCCTTGTGTAGCGGTGTGAGTCCATCTTTGGCACGGAAGTCAATATGAGCCCCTCCTTCCACTAGGACCCGGATGGCTTCACCTCCACCTGGCTCACACTGCACCGCCAGCGACAGAGGGGTTTCTGGGGGAGACACACACACCCACTAGAGTAAGTGTCAAAGTCAATTATTCCGAGATTATTCAGTGCACACTTTGTTCAAAGAAACTAAAAGCTCCACTGGAGATTTACCTTTTAAAATTGGCGAAACAATGTTATTCTGACTAAATGCTGTTTTTATGCTGACATCAACTAAAGCAACAAAGAAATTCAAGATGAAAGCAACCTTGTGTCACACGTGAACCAATTGAACGAAAAAGTTCACTTTCTGACGCCTCAAAGAATAAAAGCGTTCAAAATGTTCCCAGTTAAAACAGGGTACAGTGTGCTGGCTGCCATGGCAACGTAGATTCTGTCACACTTGAGTACAAATAGTTTGAGGGAAAGTTTTGACTATGCTTCCTCTGAAGTTACCATGTCATAATGACTTGGGCATGCAAACTCTGCCTGCTGCCTGCTCCCTTGGTAAAATGGAAGTGAGCCCCTCCTGACAAGAGCCATGCTGAATATGGCAGAATTATTTCATGCCCTATTAAAGGCACACAGTGTGACGCTTCTGGAAGCATATGGAAAGAGTTTAAGATAGATCAAATGTACAAAGAGTTAAGGTTCCAGGACCTCTACAGAACAGTCTTTCTAAAGATGTTTGATCATGTCTTTGCACTGCCTGTACAGACCTGCCACTGCCAAAGTAACAAAAGCCCCAGTCTTCAGGAGTAAGATGTGCATGCATTGTCTTCCCCATGTGATGCGAGTACAGGATGTCAGTGAAGGGGAGTCAGAAGGGCTCTTTGTTGCCCCCTGGTGTTCTGCAGTGGAAATGCGTTTCACACCAGTGGTGACAGGCTATGTGTTGTGTTTTGACACTCGCTCCCCAAGCGGCTGGAGTGGCACAGAGCAGCACACCCAAACTGTAAATGAGCCGTCTGCTGCTCCCCCCTAAGCACTAACAGGATCTGAGGAAAAACCACCAAATTGTGAACAGCACTGGCTCAGATCCTTGACAAAGTGTTAGGCCACCATACTGCAGAGCTGAGCGCAGAAAGCGGGCGGGGATGGGGGTCTGTTGTTGTTAGAGGGTTTAAAGGTTGAATTTATACAGCAGAGCCATAGGCCACATAGCTGCTGGCCACCAGTGTGCAAATGCAGCCACTTGGGGATGTTGAACCTCAAATACACACATGGTGTCACAGTGCAGTTCTCTGTGAGGGGTCATTATCTGAGATTACATCATAAAAAGAGGTTAATTTTGTAAACTGGCAGACAGATGGAGGCAACCGAGAATATGTAAATGGTTCATGTACAAAATACTACCCATGGAGGGGCAGATGAAATAAGTTGAAGCACGTGGCAATATCCTTCTTAGCTTCAGATCTGGTTCCTAAATAATGTACACTATGTATTTAATGCAGTTAGCCTAACTACTGTCATAGACCAAAGTGTTATTGTCTTATCCTCAGCTGACAGGGTTTCACTGACTGTAGAAACAACGGACCGGCTGACAGCTCCCAAAGGTGAAGCCACCAAAACTCGATCACCTCCCGGTGGCTGGTTACAGTATAGGTCATAAACCCCGCCGCCTCCATGTTAGCGGAGGTACAACTCAAATCAAATAAAGTACAAATCAAATCAATTTTGCCCAGAGGTCACTTCTGCAATTTTTGTTAGATCTCAACATGCTGATGTGTAAACAAATGGTAATTTTTTATAAAAACAAATGTGTATTTTGGTCGATTCAACAAATTTGATTGGTTGTCTGATGCTGTCACTCCAGTTCTGATCGACTACACAGAATCTAGATGCAAAAAGGCAAGACAGCAGCTGCCATACATGAAGAGGTGATGCCATGTCCATTGCACACTGTATATGTCAAAGAAGGGTTTCAACTGAAGCAGCTGGAAACATATTACCCCCCTGTTAAAGTACATTAAATAGCTAACTAAATTTTAAAGTTGATTTTAGGACTTCTATGTTTAAAGATGATTGGGGTTGGTGAAGACTGGGGTCCGTGACTGTTTGGTGAATCAAGCCCAAGACCTTACATTTGACTGCTACTCTACAAATATTGTTTAATATTGTTCTTCAACCCCCCCAATTTACTTTTCCTCATCATGTTGACTTGTACAGCACTTTATAACTTGTTATCAAACAGCTACAATGCTATCATAGCCTATTATTATTACTATTGCTACATGATAGAAAGCCGACTCAGTGGACAGTGAGGGAAGCCAAGGTAAAGGCCCTGTGGCACTCCTTACCGCCTGTGTCAGCATCCTGGTAGTTGGGATCGAGGCCCTTGTCTAAGAACTTGGCCATCTTGTCCACAGCGCTGGTTTGGATATAATCCATGAATTTCTTCAGGCTGGCCTGCATGTGGAAAGAAGAGCTGCTGTATTACAGAAAATAGATATAACTCAAAACCAGTGGTGGAATAAGTTTGTATTAGTTTGTCCATATTTGTGTGGACACTGGACTGAAAACATACAAAGAAAGATGTGGACTAACATATAATTCAGGTTAATGAATTGTAATCCCAGTGCATGATAGAAAACTTGAAAAGTGTCTGTGTGTTACCAGTCTGTGAGGGGCTGTCAATGAATGATGACAACAGGTAATAGGTACAGAGGAGTGAACAAAGATGTTGAAAGAGCCGCATGAATTCTGATGTGACCTTTCTGACTGTGGTCACATGATCAAATATCAGACATATTTACTGTAGGACTACACATGGAAGTGGCCCAAATCCATTTGGTTTGTTCACACATCCATGAAAAAAATCAGATCTGATTAGAGGAGAAAAAAAATGGATATGAGTCACTTCAGCAAGTAATGTCAGTGTAGCTTTAGTGTCAGCCCTGTGACAGACTGGAGACCTGTACAGAGTGTACCCTGCCTCTCGCCCAGTGTGGGCTGGGATTGGCTCCAACACCACCCACCCCACAGCCCAGGACTGTACAAGATACTTGATTTAGATAATGGGTGTGATACATTGTTGCACTTTTGCATTTATTTATTAATGTGACAGAAAACAGAAGTCTTTCTACCTTAAAAGTTATGTACCAAGAACAATATAATACAACTAACCACAGTGGAGTATGGGGAAGTATATTGCAGTGTAATACTTTGCAGTCAAGCTCATTATGCATTATTGGAAAACCATACACGAATGTACATGCACAAGTACATGCTTAGTGACACACTCATGCACACACCTACAGACAACCACACTGTACAAGTCCGACTGGAGATCCACCTTCAGAACTAATGGGTTTCATACCTTTGTGTGCAGTTTGGCCAATTGCTTCTCATCCAGATTGGTCTGTTTGTACACCCTGGTCTTGTAACGAAACTAAACCCAAAAGAGAAAAAGATAAAGAAACAAAGAGTTAATCCTAACACAGAGGACCTTTTGCCCTGGATTCACAAAATGGGGCCTGCAGACCTATTGTACAGACAAGCCTTATCTGGTTTGCTATACAAACCTCCTCTTCTACTTCACCACAGACAAGTTAAGAAACTGGGCCAGCTTTACAGCAGTTTAAGGAAGGTTCTCCCTTGAGACAGCATGAACAGAATGTGACTGTACAGATAAGATTTTAGCAAGTGCAGCGGGACAAAACAGAGCAGGAAAAGGGAACAGTTCTGTGACACTCCTCAAAGAAGTGTCTGTGAAGCTCCATTCATAAACAAAGGTTTTATACAACTTAGTTTTACTAAAATTAGGACCTATTCTTTTAAAAAGAAGTTGCCATTTACTTTAGTCATCATGGATCTGAACACAAAGCTTTGGAGTACAAACTGATTTGATGCAGTTTCTTAACATTACAAACTTACAAAGTTAAACCAAGACACTGTTTGGTAATATTTACTTTATTTAACACTGGTAATTAGCAGAAATCGACGTGTAGTTCAGCTGTGTTCTATTTTACCATGTCCTTATCTGGCATTCATCCAGCAAAAGAGAGTCTAGGGCACTGACTTCCCTATATGTCTGTAGCACAGGTGTGCTAATTGGTCAAAGCCAACTCATCTGGATTCATTGGGGGGGATCACATTGTGTGATTTAAAATTGTCTTAAATTATACGGGGGAAAACAAGATCATTTTGCCTTGTCAGATGTGTTTTCACTTGATTTAATGTGACTGGCTGTTATGTTCAGTGAGTTTAAAACCCTTAAAATTGTGCTGTGTCTCTTGTGCCTGACTTGCTTGGTCTGTGACAATTTGTTTTATTTCAAAGATTATTCTGGGCAACCAAGACGTACCATAAGTTTAGGCTCAGGGCAAATGGTTGATGTCTGAAGCTAATCTAAACAAGAAAATGAACCTTTTGTGAGAATATATTTTAAACTTTCCAGGAGGAAGCCATCACGCCAGGGTTTATTTAGACTGTGGCTTTGATGAATAACAGTGACATCTTGAGGACAGTCAGGCTCATTGCTTCTTTACAGTAATATAGTGCTGTGTTGTACAACTGTGTCAGTGCAAGACTGGAATAGTACCTCCAAATATGGTACCCCTTTCTCAAAGGACTGTGGGTACTCTCTGAGCAGGCACTCCTCCTCTAGGAACTTGGCATCGTGTCCGTCTGTGGCAGGTTGGAACAGGCCATAGTTCAGCACATCCCGCAGTGATTCGGTCAGGGAGCACAACACCTGCTGCTTGGCTTTCCACACCGTGGCATCTGGGTTAAACCGCAAACATTTCTGCAGGAGATACAGAAGCAACTCAACAACAAAGAAAAGTAGCATGAAAGTCAGTAAAACTAAATAGTGCAAAAGCCACAATTTGTCTTAAGCAAGAGCTTAAAAATGTTAAACAGTGCCTGAGGATCTCAAGATGCAATCTGCCACATATGAGGTGAAATGGTCTGTAAAATTTTGGGGGCGGTCAGACCATCTGTGACTCACAAGTTACTTCCACTATGTTTCATGGGGAAATGTACTTTTTAGTCCACTTATTTCACAGCTATAGTGCCTTTTTAGATTAAATTTAACATAACACGCATATACAATGTTTATAAAATACAACACAGTGCTAAAGATTATACCAGTGGCTCCCAATATTTTTGGCTTGTGATCCTCTAAAACTACTGCTTTGGTTTAAATAATGCTCTGAAGCCCAAAGTGGTCAAACTATCACGTTTATTTAAAAAAATGACATTTCAAAATATGAATACAAATTTTTATAGCCAAACTATTACTTCTGTAGCATTTTGAATGCAGGACTTTAACTTGTAATGGTGCATTTGTTCATTGTTGTACTAGCAAATGGTCCAAGTACTTCTTTCACCACTGATTTTATTTGAATAATAAAACAAACATTGATGTTTATTCCCATAGAAGTCTAGGAAAAGATTACAAATTCTATGTAGTAGAACAATATTTTGCTAATTTCTTGTCCCATTAATCATCTCGTGACCCAAAACATTTATACCAAGAACCTTTGGAGAGATCACCACCAACCTACATTACAACCCTGTGGCAGTTGGCTGCTCTCACTGCACTGACTGCAGCACACTGAGGCTGGCCCCCTGTCTGAGCCAGCAGGGGGAGACACACTCACACATGGGTTGGTGATTCCCAGTGGCCTCAGTTAGCAGGCAGGATATGAATGGCAGTTTGTTGCAGCTTTAAGTGTCTACAGTGGGGTCCTAAATGGCCAAATGCATTATGGCTCAGTGGCTTAGTCAGCAAAATGAAACATAACTCACTACACAGATATCTGACAGAAGGTTTATGGTACTGTTCTCGCTATCTCTCCCTGTCCTTGTCCAATGTGGAGTTGGATTGTTCTCTGACCTTGAGGCAGCAGCAGGATGACTGGCCCATGCAGAGTACAGTCAGCTAGCAGGGGTCCCATGCTTCATACTGCATTACCGCATGGGCTCTTCTCTCTAGCCAGCACTTCTTCTATCCCTGAACATTCGCTCTATCATTATCACTCATCTTAATCTCTTCACACACACACACACACACATAGATAGATACAAATTTGTGTGTGTGTATGTGTGTCCCACAAAGAAAGCAATAAAACCCTGCACGGGGGTTTAGTGCAGAGGAGTATCACAATGTTTTCTTCCTCTATTTTATTCAGTATCTCTGTGCACAGCCAACCCAGTCGTCATGGCAACCAGTTCATTAGTGGAGCAAACTGCTTGTTGCCATAGTAACATTCCTGTGTTCCCTAGGAGATGGGGTACTGGGAGGGTGTGCTTGGGCTTGTGTGTGAGCGCATGCATCAGTGCGCATGTGTTTTTGTGTGCTTGTGTGTATGTGTGTGGATGAAGGGGTGTGTCTATTTGTATTAGATTAGGTTTCACATACACAAGCCTACACACTGCACTTACAGTCCCATCAAAAGATGCAAGTAAACACTCTAAAATGAAACACAATCACAGCATAACAAAATGAAGGCTAACGATTCAGTTCTAATGCTGACAGAATGTTTTCACAGTCAACTTGAGCAATTATAAAATATTGATAATTATATATAAATATGCAATGCAAATAATATTTTTGATTAGGGCCTAAGATGCTTATAGGCTTGAAGATTTTTCTGAGGCAGCCATGCTGCTTATTGATTTGTGTGCCTCCAGCAATATGAGTGTTCCTCCAGCTTCTGACTAGCCATTTAGATCTCGCGATATTAAAATGTGATGATATTTCTCATCGTAGAAAAAGCTGTCTCGCAATATCAGTACATAACAGAATCAGAGCAGCACCTAGTATGATGGAGTGTGACAATACGTTCACATTATTCTTGCAAAAAAGCAACTCCCTGCTGTATTTTAACACACGGGGCTGTGTTGGTCAGACATGAGAGGTTGCAGGAGGAGTATTGTAGGTGTGTACGTTGTGACAGGTCGATGTGAGTGGCTTCACTGATGTTTCCAGCCCTTGAGTTTCCACTGTGTTTTGGTTAGCCATGCTGCTAAGATAGTCTACTCTACCTTAGCACCAATTCTACCACCAGTCTGTTGGCATTGATAGATAAACACAGTTTTAATATCCAGTTCTAATGAAAATGCATGGTGTGTCATTATGGCGTGTTAACTGTGGCCCAAATTCATCCGTGAATACCCGTGAATGCTCATGTTAACAAGGTAAACAAAAGAGTCTTCTTCCTGTGGGCTACCATATTCCGATCATCCCCAGTACATGATTGGTGAACCCATTGCCTTTGCTGGATGATGTCACTGTCTGCTGTGGTGCGGTGAGGGTGAAAATAAAATCAAAGGTCACACATGGCTTACATGAGAGTTAAGTTAGAAGCTCATGCACAGTTCATGCACAGTTATGTCAGTGTGAAATCCTACAGGAGAGAAGCCAGTCAGTTAAGTTTGTGGCAAAACATTTTACAGTGTTTGCATATTGTCTTTTACTGCATATAATAATTCATACTCACAAGGTAGAACTCAAGTGACATTTATTACAATATTATAACATTTCAAAATGCACCTGCATTGTTTAGCATTTGTGAATTTCAGCCAAATAAACAATTTTTTTGTCTCATTCTCATGAACCCGACATCATGTATTGTCTCGTGAGCTAAGTGTATCGTCACACCCCTACTCATCACAGATTCCCAACACTTATCAGGCCTACAGAATAAACGATATTGCTGTTTCTGTAATCAGAATCAGACAGCTTTGCAACTTTTCCTCCAATGGTGCACTTACAGCTCAGTGTTTGGAGCACCCTCTAATGGGTAGAGAGTTTGTGTGTGAAATATCAGGACTAAATGGCAACTGGAGGTTTGCAGAACATCTGTGTGACAATATTGTTTTAGCCAAAACACAATGATTTAAATACCAAGATCAGTTTTATAAATAATGCTTGCCTGTGCTAGTGTTCTGACTAATCAAATTACACAAAACACTTTAAACACCTAGTGCTAACAATGGTGCTGCTCATTGTGTTTCGCTAGTGATACTTTTCCTAAGTAGAAGTTCTAGTGTAACAGTGAAAAAATGTTTCATTACGTGTTCAAAATTCCTATTTCTAAAAGTACAAGGATTTGCAACAAAATATGAGTTTCAAAAGTAAAAAAGTGATCATTCTGCAGAAATACTTGCCCCTGTGACTCATTGTATATGGGATCATTAGATTAATACTAAAGCATCAATGCAAGTTGTATGTTACTGTTGCAGGTGGTTCTTGGCACCTCATTATAACTACGACGTACTTTATTAGGCCACTGGTTCCCAACCTAGAGGTGAGGCTTCTTCAGAGGGTCACAGGTTAATCTGCCTGAAGTTAAATGATTAACAGGTTAGGGGAAAAAAACAAAATTCTGCTACATAAATCTGCACTCACCATATTTGCTGTTTTTAAAATACTGAGGCTTCAGACAAGATGCTGAACTACTACTGTATCTCTTTTGGGGAAAATAAGATAAAGAACCTCAGCTAGAAATCCTGTCTCCTAGAAACAATTTTCATGTACTAATTTGTTTTCCTAACTGCTCTTTTCAGAAGGGGATACAAACCAAAATGCACATATTTGATATTTGATATTTGATATAAAATATTAACATGGAAAGTAAGCAGTAACCTCAGCTGTGAAAATAAATGTAGTGGAGTAAAAAGTACAATATGTACCTGTAAAACGTAATGTAATAGAAATGGCAAAAAAAGCACTAACAGGACAAATTTGTACTTAAGTAGAGTGCTTGGGTAATTATACATGTACCACTACTGTATAGGGGTTATGCGAAACGTCACGTGACCAAACCAGAAAACGGGTCAGCGCACTTCCGCTTTTCCGCAGAACGCCAGTGACACAACAGTAGTAATGCGAAACACGTTCTTTGAGCTCGTTTTATTTGATTAGTTCATAGATTTAATAAAAATGTCTTTTTCCAAGACACAAATACCAGAAGCGGGCTCATCCAAACAGTGATCTCTGCTGCGTACATATGTCAGGGAAGTTCAATTCAGCCATAAGCTTTCACCATTTCCCTAAGGATGAAACCTTAAGAAAAATATGGATCCGTAATGTACGACGTGATAATCTTGTAATTAAGCGGACAACAGTATGTTGTAGACACTTCGTCTCCACAGATGTAATTCAAGGTGGACGACGGCGTTTGAAAGAAGGAGCCGTTCCAGTGTTGTTTGCCTGGAGTGACTACTCTCTGCCTGCAAGTAGACCAAGCGTGTGGGAGAGAACGCAACGGCCGGAGGAAATTGAGGAGGAACAGATGGACGTCGGAGTT